GGATTTAAGTCCCAGGTCTCCTCCGTGTTGGCTGTGATGACAGTGCCCATCACATACAATTGTTATGCACATTAGAGTGATAAAATGTGGCAAGAACAGTTTGTGGCACTAGGCAGTCATTATGATAGCCTACTCTACTGCATTAGATTATTCCAATCATGTTTGATAGTTTTAACTAAAGAGTCTCAAATTTTAAGGTGGATAAATAATTTTACTTTTTCCAGTAACTGCTACATTGACTAACCTACCCCTTTTCTTGATAGGCTTGGCTCCCTTAATGATATTGAAGTTCTGTATTACTATATGTTAGTCATTGCCCGTTATTAAAACAGTCTCATTTTCACTAAAACTTTAATCTCATATTGAATCCAAAGCTCTCTCCCCAAGGCACGTGAGATTTGTAGCCCCTACAAATGGTGAGTAGAGAGGTATGATAGGTTTAATTCCAAGAGAGCTCTTACAATTCCTGGCCCCTGGTGTATCTACATCTTCCTCTAGCTATCCAAGCAAACACTAACCTAGGTGTTGCTGTGAAGAGATTTTGCAGACATAATTAAGGTCCCAAATCAGTTGACCTTAAATTAGGAAGTTTAAATCGGGGTCCAGGGGTCAGAGGTAGGGAAGACAGAGAGAGAAAAACTCTGATAGAGATTCAAGGTATGAGAATCTCCACTGGTGGCTCAGGAGATGGTGGGGATCACACGACAAGGAATACGGGCAGCCTCTGGGAGCTGAGAGAGGATCTTGACTGACAACTGGCAAGGAAACAGGGACCTCAGTCCTACAGCTGCAAGAAACTGAATTCTGCCAACAAATGGATGAGCTTGGGAGTGGATTTTTCCCTAGAGCTTTTAGATAGGAACCCAGCCTGGCCAACACCTTGATTTCACTTTTTGAGCCCTGAACAGAGAACACTATCACACTGTCCCTAGATTTCTAAGCTACCAAACTGTGAGCTAGTAAATGGATGTTGTTTTATGCTGCTAACTTGAAGGCAATTTGTTACATATAAATAGAAAACTAATACCAGAGGGTTGGAGGTGGTGGATGGGATCTGTTCCCTTACATCTTTCCTAAACTCACTCCTTCTGATTTGGGGCAGGAGGAAGAGGAGGGAAAAATAAATCTTTTTGTGGGTCATCACTATGGATCTGGCTCATTGTCTACACTTGATGTAGATTGGGGGGAGTGGGTAGCCTCCAATGAGGCCTGATGATGAGGGGTTGGAGCAACTTTTCCAGCTGATCCTGACTTAGAGCCTCAGGGGTATGCTGGGTCTCTGGTAAAACTATATACAGAAACTAGTTTCTTTTACCTTCTACGACTTCAGCTCTGGTAGCTATGGCATGGTACAAATCTACCTGTAGGTCCTGAGACCTCAAGTGACTGGTCCTTGCCCTTTCTTAGTCTGGTGAGCCTGATCAACTGAGTTTCTCTGCAAGCTCTTCCTCCCTCTTGGGTAGTACAAGCCCTGTAATTAAGCAGACATCCAACCAGGTAAACAAGCAACTTTTTCTCCCTCTTGAAGTCATCTTCAAACTTCACAGGTGATTACCTTGGGGAGGAGAGGTCGTGGACTCCTCTTCTTTACCCGGTGGGAGTGGAGTGGAGGAGGTAGTCTCTCTTCACAAGCAATACATTCCCCAAAGGTCACCTCTTCTCTCTCTCAGTCCCCTCACATCTCTCTTGCTGCTGAGTATGTGAAAGTCAGAGGCTAAGAAGGAGGGCTTTTATTTACTGAGTTATGGACAATTTATACACTGCGTTATTAGGTAAACTTCATGGACAGAAATGCTGCCAACACTATTCTGCTGCAAATGATGCATTTCAACATTTTTAAAAGGATGCCTTATTCATATAACCTAGAGCACAACAACTTAAAAAATAAAACATGTATTTAATTTTGCGCTTGGCTTGAACAGTATCATTTAATTTTATGTATATTAATTAATAACTTTCCAGCCATTTTGCTAAGTGAGGATGATCGACAACCTAAGCTTTGGCCTGGAGAAACTCACTGGGTGTGTGTGTGAGTGAAAGAGAGACAGAGAGACAAAGAACGTAAGATCCAAGAACAGACTGTTAACTAACTGTAGTGCTATAATAAAGGTACCCACCATCTTGAGCAATACTGTACTAATGGATAGGGGAATCCACACTGTTTAAAACAGAATTTGAATGAAGTTTTGACTGCTTCTTCTAGTAAAAGTATGAAGCAGGTTCATTAGAAAAATACTTTTAAACTAAATACTTTAGATTTAAAGATGCATATCCTTCAAATTCTTTTTTGGCATAATGAATCCATGTACCTGGCACAATGAGTCCATCTATGTCTGTTCGATTTTTGAAAAAGCAACAAAACAAACAAACAACTTTTGGTCGAGTCAGAGACTCTACTTGATCTCCCAAATCAAAAGATCACTTTCCACTTGTGGATCCCCAGGGTAGTTTTGAAAAACCCAAGTTTTACAAATCAGAAGAGTAAATTACCTGGATGTCTTTTTCTCTTTTTGAATGTGAAATTTAACATTTATACCATTTCTTATTATACCAATAAAAAGTGAAATCTTTATAATGTGGGTCTGCAAAAGCAACTTTTGAAGTCAGATGTATTTATCAACATACTTATTAGAGGCATTTTTTCCTCTACAGTTTTGGAGAGAGTATGAAAACCAATACTAGTATGGTTTAGATATTCATAACTATTTACACATGTCTCAGTAACAAAATATATTTGGGGGGGGTTGGTGCTTTTCTTTTAGGATTTGGGACAGCTGGAAATTATTATCATTATGGTTAAATGTGTTCTAACTGGATAATGGTGTTAAAAAGAATATAACATTCTGGAATGCTTCCTCTTAACATGTAACACATATTATTTTATTAAATTGAGTTATGTAAATATGGATTGGCTATTTTCTGGCCAGTTATACATGAAGGTATCTAAAGAAATAGGTTCTTGGAAGAAGCATCAAATAGAAAATGACTGTGCTTTATTATTATTAACATTATCATCATTATACACAGAAACCTTAGTACTGTACTCTTTTTAAAGGCTAGATAGTTAATATTTCACATGCTGCAGTGACAGATTCTAATTAAATATTTGAGAAATAGGACATCTTTTTCAATCATGATGTAATGTATCAAATACCTTGGAGAAATGTAAAAATGCTTTTCATATTTGCTTATCCAAAAGAAAAAAAAGATGATTAGTGAGGGATTCTGTGGCTTCCAGAACCTGAAGTGTTTCTTCTAAGGAGCTAGATAGACTCTGTTAAGAGCCAAGAGGAAGCAAGGTTCAAAGGAAATTCATTTGATATTGTGCTCTGGCTATGAAAGGGGGTGAGAGGCTGTTCCTCGGCAGCATGTGGCCATTTGGCAGGAAGGGTTGCATGCCAGCCTGAGGGGTTATTGTGATCACAGATGGACTTAGCATGGGAAAGAGGATGCCAGAGAGTCTCAGGCAGTGCAGGCTATTTTGGGGGCTTTACACGAACCATTATTTTTTCATTCTGTGCCAGTACTGACACAGACAAATGTATTTGTTTAGTTCCTTACAAAAATGCAAGCCCATAAACAGCAGCAGGACTTGATACAATAATTACCTCTTATAGTTGATGCCATGACCTAATAATTACCTCTTATTTGCTGACTGGCTGTTAATGATTTGCAGATTACCAGAGTAGGTCTCATCCTTGGAGACATCACTCAAGGACATTTTCAAAGTAATGATTTATAACTACTTCTAAATATAATGCATTCCTTTCATCAAAAAATTTTTACAGATTTTATATTTTATGATATCAAGATGATGCCACTAAGACTTAACAAACAAGGGTATGGAGGCTAGGTACATATTTTAAAGAAGAAATAGGGATCTTTTTAGTTAAGGAGAATAGTCAGCAAATTTGCATCATTCATTTTTTAAATTTAGAAACGGAGATTCTGCATTAATGATTTTCTTAAGAATATGGAACTGGCTTAAGGAACTCAGTAAACATACCTAGATCTGGATTCCAAAAGCCTTTCTACATAAGGTACAACTAGAAACTGCCAGAAGGTTTGATACCTGATCCATGGGTTCCCATCCTTACTCTGTCACTGACAGGCAATGAACCTTGGCAAATTATTGAGGTTTACTCATACACAGGTGAGGTGATGGACATCAATGATCCCCGTAACTCTGAAGTTTAGTGTTGACATTGGAACACAAGACTCACAAATGGCCTAACTATGAACACAGCTGCTGGGTGCAGAGCTTTTGGTCATTCCCATAGCTACAGACAGGCTCTGCTCTTCGTGCCCTTCTCTATCAGGATCTTCCCCATTAACAGCTTTAGCAGCTCAAGCCCATCCCCCACACATAATTATTGCAGTGCTCCCTGGTGTGCTTGTCCCCTTCCTCATGACCCTCCCACTACATTAATGATATCATATGTTAAGTTGGATTTCAAAGGCTCCCTATAACTTAACCTCATTGCAAAAAACTGAGTACAAATTAACTTTTGGAACTAAAGCCTTTTGGAAAGCATATACTTATTTGCACGGTCTTGTTTTGGTGTGTCAAATAGTGGCTAAGAGGACAGTCTGTAAGTAGCAGAGCTTTGGAGCCGGGCTGCATGGATTCAAAAATGGGCTCTGCTACCTAAAAGCTATGTGACCTTGGCAAGTTCTCTTTGTCTCCACTTCTCCATCTGTGAAATGAAAATTATGAAAATATCTGCCTTGTAAGTGTTTTGTTTTGTTTTGAGAACTGAGTTAGTAAATGTAAAGCAATTAGAATAGAACCTGGTACATAAAAAGTGCTCAATAATAGATACTATGCATTTTAAATGTTCTCAGTAGGGACAAATCTACGATCTGTGAAGATATATTAGCATTTGGGAAACATCCACAAGTCATTTGGAACAAATTCTTATTTTAAATAAGTGGAGGAGAGTTTAGCAGCTTGGGCTGAAATTATGATGTGAATATGGAGAATGAGACTCGTCTTCTCATTTAGCTTATTATGAGTTATGAATAAGTTTATTGGCTTTTGAAGTGACAGCTTTCAAAATGATAGTACTTTTCTACAGATTATACATGCAAAAAAATCAAACTATGTTATGATTTTATCTTGTACCTGACAACATGCTGGTAACGTCATGCTGCTCATTTATAAAAACAATACAGAGAACATTGATCTTCTCACCCTTAATGGAGTCCATTGGATAATATCTATGAAGGATGTTCCTGGTTTTGGCAAAAAAAATACTTTCCCTCTTTTTGTTAAATATTTGAATTCTTAGTCTCCCAGCTGAGACTGCTAATATGATGACAAAATTAAATATACAACTGTCAAAATTAAAACACATATTCAAGGCAAAATTTACATTTAATTCTGAAATCTTGGTTTTATCACAGTTTCTACAAAATTTATTGTATAATTTAGCACATGTGGTTTGTTCTGCAAAGCCCTTAATATTTTTACATCTTATTAAATCTAAACCCAAATATAAACAATTTGAAAATCTCCAACTGCTAGACCTCAATAGGAAAAAAAATAATAAATAAAGACCCATGTTTTAAACTTTCCTCTTATGCCAACCTGAAAACATATTTTATTTATTTGCCTTTTTTAAAAATTGTGTTTTGCAAACATGTATACTGATCTCTTTCTGTGCCCAGGTGCTTCCAAGATCTTTCCAATATTAACTCAATTTTTCCTTAAAACTTCCCATAAGGTCAATTACTATATCTATATGACAGATGAGAAATTTGCCCGAGTTCTCCAACAAGTAAGTGGTAACCTGTGACTCAAATCCAGATTGCACAAATGGTATTTTGATCTAAGTATTTAAGAGAGATTATTTCACTTAAAGAAAACTTCTCTCTTCCTGCTATTTCTTAAACCTTTGAAACCCAGTTCTCTAAACTTTATCAGGAATTTAATTTTAAAATAACCTGTGAGGTCAAGAATCCCACATGCAATATTTATTTTCAGTATCATTAAGTCTGGAAAGATCATCCTGAAGCATGCAGGAGGCGGTGGAGGGAGGGATGTGGAGGAGGCAAAAGCAGAAAACTCAGTGTAAGTCTGCACCACATTGCTAAAGAATGAGGTCCTGAAGAGCTGGAGGGCCACTGGGCAAAGAGGCCTGTACTGCTTTGAAGAGTGAGGTCATGCTCAATGCTTTAAACTCATCAGTCACGATTTTAAAAGAGATGTGGGTGAAAAAGAAAAAAATACAAATTAGCAGCATTTCCAAAAGAACTTAAATATGTCAGGCAATAAAGTGTCCTAATTCTGTCTTCAGGGAACATATGTCAAACAAGCTTGTAGTTCTGCAAGGAATACTCCATCCCCCATTCATGTTCCCACAACACATGCCTATTGAAAGAAATGTCACAGTTAGTCAAATGCATGTGGAAATTTTCTTAGCATTATCTAGTTGAAACATTGGGCCAACCTTTCTTTGAACACAAAACAATTTGTTACAGCCTTCTGAAAGAAAGCACATCAATGGATTTGATTAATGAAGACAATGTAAATGGTCTACATGATATATTACTAAATTTCCCTATGTTTTCAGAAGCACTATTATCTACATCTCATAACCACCTTCTGATCCTAGAAAGTAATGACTAGGTAACACTTTGTAGATGTTTATTTCTGAGGCAAATATTAGGTTTGGTGACATTTTGCTTTGAGAAATATAACCAATTGCTGATTCTCTGTGCTAATAGAAATACAGTCATGTGTCACTTAATGACAGGGATCTATTCTGAGAAATGCATTGAACGATTTGGTAGGGTGATTTCATCATTGTGCAAACATCATAAAGTGTACTTACACAAACCTAGTTGGTACAGACTACACTATATAGTGTAGCCATGATAATCTCATGGGACCACCGTCATATATGCAGTCTGTCATTGACCAAAACATCATTACATGGCACATGACTGTAATTGAAAGACTACACATAATTCTAAAAAGTTATATTATTATATAGACACTATCTTATTTATCATTAAAACTACAAGTGAAACAACGCATATAAATAGTTAATGCAGTTGTCAGAACAAAGTAGATGCTCAATCAATTGGATTTTAATCATGTATATTTATGCCAAATATGAAACTATCTTTATTATGTTTTCTGCTTCTACTGATATTCTAATTCATACTGTGAGTTAGTAGGATAGGAATATTGTACCTGGAATATTTCAAATCTCTAAAATTGTATACAGCATTGGGTGTATATATACATTATTTCTGAGACAAGGGATCAAAACTTTCATTGGATATTCAAAGGGGTACATCGCTTTCTCCAAAAGGTTAAAAAATCACTAGCCCAGAGGAATCATTTGCTTTAACTTGTCCTATATATGTCCAAACTGTGTTGTTTGATAAAGCCGAAAAATGTCGTTTTTAAAATAAATCATGCTCTAGAGTTGGTTTGGTTGTGGGAGGAGGACTTATAAAAAATGCCTTACCTAGTACAAAAGGTCTCTTCCTTCTCTCACTACTATCCTCGCTAGCCTGGTATATATCATTGCCAGAGCTAGTTTGACTTGAGAAATGGAAAAGAGAAATGGGAAAATAGAAAAAGAGACAAAATATTTAGGGGCCCTTTGGAGAAACTAAAGCCCATAGAGAAGTAGTGACTATTAGGTTTTGAAGTCATCAAAAGGAGACTGCCTTTGCTTTCCTTTCAGCCACAATCTCCTTCATAGCTTCAAATGTCACATTTGAAATCCAGTAACTCTAAGAGAATATTTCATTTAAAAACTTTTTAGTGTTACTTTTTATTTCCCTGTCCAGATGAGAAATCATAAGACCAATTCTTAAAATGCCAAAACATAAACTACTGAAGGCATGCAGAAGAAATTTGTACTAGGAGAAACTTCTCTGAATGCTGTCGGAAGCCAGCAAGATCCAATTTTCCTCAATGCTGCTGCACTAATTGTAAAAGTTTGTTTCTTCAAGTAAAAGAAGCAGATGTGACTTAGAGAAACATGGAGAACACATGTGCCAAGCCAAAGTTTTTATTTAAATGGTGATTTATCTGACCATAAGTGACATTAACTCATGAAGCGAATGTTTAACATCACTCTTTTGCACCAACACAGAAAGATAATTTATACAAGCCTGAAATAAATCATGAATTAAAGAACATACCCCTCTCATCCTCACTTGCTTTTTAAGAAAACTAAATGCTAAACAATTCTCAAGCCTTGGATGAATGTAGATTCTTACTGGCCACTGAGGAGGCTATACATTCAGAACGTCTGGATTCACGTATTGTTCACGGAAATATTGATTTGCTTCCCTGGGCATTATGTGAGCTCCTGAAGAACGCTGGTAAAGGATAGCTCAGTCCAAAACACAGAACATGAAACACCTGCAAAGGTTAAGTGTTTACATCAAGGGCACTTAACAAGACTTGAAAGAATGCCTACAGCCCAGGTCACTGATGGTACAATAGATGCTGTTGCTACAGAGCCATCAGAGTCAAGTGGAAGAGTAGGGCCAACTTCTCTATTAAGCACAGGAGGCACAGTGCCTATGGCTCACAATACTTTTAAGAGCCCATGAAAATGTTTGGATTTCCTTTAAAAGTTAGAAGGAAAAAAAGACCTTTTCACTCAAAGACAATAGTCTACATATGTAGCATTAACATATTCATCTTTATATCAACAGAGTCATAAAATATAATTTGAAGTATTTTTTTCATGGAAGAAGGAGCCACAAGACAAAAGTGATTGGGATCCACAAATGTCAGGAATACAACCTGTGGAACAGCCCAGGACACTCACTGTCGCTTCTAACTCCCAACCAGTCCTTCCTGTCCTTTGCAATTCCAGCATCCTCAGTATTATTGGCTCCTGCTTCTTTAGCTGTTCTCTATCTTGCTTTCCCCTTCTTCTTCTCTATACCCTGGAGGTAAAGCCTCGAGATATATCTACATATACCTCTAGATAGATATAGTAAAATAGTTTGATGATGATGATGATGCTAATTCAATACTGACTGAGCACCTAACCGTGCACTAGTCTTGTATAAAACTTTATTTTTATTATCTAATTGAATCCCCACAATGGTTCTGTAAGGTAGGTACTATTACCAGATCTATTTTTTTTTAAGGTAAGGAAACTAATGCTTAGGGAGCTTGAATGCATTGCACTATGACACACAGCTAACTAGACCAGTTAGAAGCAGAGCTGGGGCCACAGCTCAGGCTTCTCTGATAGCAGTTAATGGCATGAGTTTAGGAGTCCATGCCTTTTAAACAGTAGTTTAAAAAAAATGGCCTGAGATACTATGACAGGGCGCAAACTTTGCTGTGATCAAATGATTTCAACAGAGAAATCTGACCCTCATCTTCTATATAGAGCAAGAGCAAAATCTGACTTTCACAATGGAAACACTCATGTCTACATGTTAAAAAAACTAAATGCAGTATTCAACCACTGCATTCAGGTATCTACTTAATTTTATCTCATTAAAGGCAGGCAGAAGGAAAGTATCTCAACACAATAAAAGCTATCTACTACACCACCGCCAATAACATCCTTAAGAACAGGAACAAGACAAAGATGCCCACTCTGACTGCTCCTATTTAACATAGTATTGGAAGTACTAGCCAGAGCAATCAGGCAAGAGAAAGAAATAAAGAGCATCCAGATTGGAAGAGACAAAGTCAAACTGTTCCTGTTTGCAGGTGACATGATCTTATACATAGAAAAACCTAAAGACTCTACAAAAAAAAACCTCTTAGAGCTAATAAATGATTTCAGTAAAGTTGCAGGATACAAAATCAACATGCAAAAATCACTAGTGCTTTTATACTCCAAAAACGAAGTCCCAGAAAAAGAAGTCAAGACAGCAATACCATTTACAATAGTCACCGAAATAAATAAATAAATAAATAAATAAATAAATAAAACAAAATACTTAGGAGTAAACTTAGCCAAGTTTGTGCCTACAGAGTTGGGGGAAATATTTGCAAACTATGCATCCAACATGGGATTAACAACCAGAATATACAAAGAACTCAAATAACTTAGTAAAAAACCTAAGTAACCCATTTAAAAAGTGGACAAAGGAGCTGAACAGGCATTTTTTTCTCAAAGGAAGAGATACAAAGGGCCAACAAAAACATGAAAAAATTCTCAACATCACTCAGCATCAGGGAAATGCAAATCAATACCACATTCAGATATCATCTCACCCCAGGTAGACTGGCCATTATCAAAAAGACAGAGAATAACAAATGCTGGTGAGGATGCAGAGAAAGTGAACCCTCCTACACTGTTGGTGGGACTGTAAATTAGTGCAGCTTTTAAAGAAAACAGTATGGAGTTTCCTTAGACAATTATAGATAGAACTGCCACATGACCCAGCAATCCTAGTGCTGGGTATATACCCAAAGGAATGGAAATCATCATGTTGAAGAGATACCTGCATTCCCATGTTTATTGCAGCTCTATTTACAACAGCCATGAGTTAGAACTGACCTAAATGTCCACTGATGAACAACTGAATAAGGAAAATGTGATATATATACACAATGGAAATTACTCAAAAATCTGCCATTTGCAGCATCATGGATGAACATAGAGAAAATTATGTTAAGTGAAGTAAGATGGCACAGAAAGAGAAATACCCCATGTCCTCACTCAGAAGTTGGAGCCAAAAAAAAAAAAAAAAAAAAAAAAAAAAAAAAAAAAAAAGAAAGAAAGAGAGAGACACAAAAATCACAGTCATTCATTGAACTTTCAAAAGGAGAGAACAGAACTGAGGCCAACAGAGATGGCAAAGGTGGAGAAGGGTTCGTAATAAATTGGTAAAAGGCCACAAAATATGATTACAATGTGTGAGGTTGAATATACTAATTTTCCTGATTTGAGCATCACATATTGATATTCAGTGCTGTACCCCATAGATTTGTACACTCATGTTTCAATATAGATAGATAGATAGATAGATAGATAGATAGATAGATAGATAGATAGATAGATAGAAATAAAAATTCTGCATACTGAAAAATATTTTAACGACTAGTAGCATAATAATATTCTGGCTAAGTAGAATTCTAGAACTCAAAATATCTAATCCTAGTTTAAATATCGGACACCAATAAACATATTCAGATGTTAGAATATTGTGACATAATAATAAATATATATATTTGGTCTGATTTCTGACACAGGGATCCTAAAACCCTTGTAATTTCCTGACTAATAGGGATGCTAGGAGCATCTTTTGTTCTAACATTTGATCTCTGACCCCAATTTCTGACACAGGGCTCCTAAATCCCTTAGAATTTCCTGGGTGATAAAATCATCTTTTGTTCTAATGAGGCAAGTCTTGGTGGGGTTCTGG